TCGGTTTTACCTAGAGGTTCTCCGGGTAAGTGGAAACAGTTAGAGTGAGAATTAACAGGAGAGCGAACGTGATCGAATTCTTCAATATTTAAGTGATCAAATCGAATTAATTTCAGAATATGCTCTGTTCTTATTTCGTAATCGTTCAAAGAGGATGTTAAGGCTAAAGGGCTTTTCTTCAAGCTTCAGGGGTGGCTTTGTTTTATGTTGTTTATCAATATTAAAGTGGAGAGGTGAGGAATTGGCCAAATCATTGCATAGATAATTTGATATAACAAAAATTTTGGGGAGGTCGAAGTTGAAGGTTCTACGAGAGAAGTGAGGAAGCAATGCCTCTTGTCGATTAAGAGAGTTTGAATTAGAATTGGAATTAGAGAGTGAGGAGGCAGAGTTAGTATTATTAGAGAGAGACAACCTCAGTATCGAATGCTTTTGTTGAGATTGCGAGTTGCCATTACGACACTCGGCGATCGCTGTGTGTGACTCGCCTAATGATCCAAAGATTCTGATTCGACATGAAAAATTTTATTCAAAAGTTCTGGAAGACTATATGAACTTGTTAGAAGAGTTCGTAGAGCACAGTTGCGATTCCTCTGCATTTGGAATGCACGATTTAGATGAAATCTCGAGGAATGAGAAAAGAGACTCAAGATCCATAAAAACGTCATCATTAACGTCAAAAGGAACTATATCTGTGCCGGCGATTTATGAAGATTTGGCGACTTTCGATTGAACAAAAGGAATCGCGGTATTTATTACAACAATATTATTATTTGGCACTCGAGAGGAACTAGTTTTTTCGGGAGAACTAATATGCGACTTAATGGATGAGGAGAGGTCAAGGAGGGTTCTTACAATTCCACGATAGGGATTAACAATTCCTGCTGGTGGCGTTGATAGCACGCATGAATGCCTACCGTTTATAAATGTAACGAGAGGATCCCCTATGAATGAATTCTATCCATGGAATAGTTACGGAAAGAAACCGATTTTTATTTCAGGATTTGCTACGCGAATTACCAGGTGTAAAAGTATGAAACCGGAATTTCCCTATAGATGGTGCTAGCCATCAGTTTAGGGACCGTAAGACCGCTTCTGCAGCGTCATCATCTCTTTCTCTAACAGCTGACGAAGATTTTCAACACACAACAACCCAAATTCCATACATCGGTATATTTTTCTATAACCTTAAACATGTCGAGTTTTGTGCCTACGAACTACGATTTGCGGACAGCATTGGTTTTTTGTTATCATTTGAAGAAAACTGCTGCGCATCGAATGCTTGTCGAAGCTTACGGTGAACATGCTCTTGGTAAAACACAGTGTTTCGAGTGGTTGAAAAAATTCAAAAGTGGTGGTTTTGACGTGAGAAACGAAGAGCGTGGGAAACCAGCGAAAAAGTTTGCAGACAACGAATTGCAAGCTTTATTGGATGAAGATGATACTCAAACTCAACAAGAACTCGCGGATGAATTGAATGTGACGCAGAAAGCTGTCTCAATTCGTTTGAAAGCCATGGGAAAGATTCAGAAAGTGGGAAAATGGGTTCCGCATGAACTGAATGAAAGACAGCAAGAAAATCGAAAAACCACTTGTGAAATGCTGCTCGGCAGATACAAAAGAAAGTCCATCGTATCATGACAGGTGATGAAAAATGGATATATTTTGAGAATCCTAAGCGTCAGAAATCATGGGTGAATCCAGGCGAACCATCGACATCCACTGCAATCGCTTTGGAAAGAAGGCAATGCTCTGTGTTTGGTGGGATCAGAAGGGTGTAATCTATTATGAGCTGCTAAAACCTGGTGAAACCGTTAACACTGATCGTTACCAACAGCAAATGATTGATTTAAATCGCGTGAAAAACGACCGGAATATGGAAAAAGGTAACACAAAGTCATTTTGCTCCATGATAATGCCCCGTCACACACAGCAAAACGGGTCAGGGAAACGATCGAGGCGTTCAGTTGGGAAATACTAACGCATGCGGCCTATTCTCCAGACTTGGCTCCGTCCGATTATCATCTATTCGCATCAATGGGACACGCTCTCGCTGAACAACGCTTCAATTCGTATGAAAATGTACGAAAATGGCTCGATAGCTGGTTCGCTTCAAAAGAAAAAATGTTTTTTTGGCGTGGCATTCATAAACTGCCGGAGAGGTGGGAAAAATGTATAAATAGCTATGGACATTATTTTGAATAAAATAATTTTTTTCATTTTCAAACAACAGACGTGTAATTTTTACAAAAAAATTCCGGTTTCATACACCTGGTACAAACCCGGAGTTCGATCGAACCGACACGACAATACTTTAGTGAGATTTGAATGGAAAAACATTGTTGCGCCAGTGAATGTATTTGGGACAGAAATCAATCTGCACATTATTTTTGTTAATAGAATGACGAACCGTTATATTTTGTGTCGGATTTCTCCGCAATATTCTGGCGGAAGGCCTTCAAAAAAATGATTCTAAGGTATCACTATCAATTTGGCAGATTTCTACCCTTGTCAACTCACGTCCATAAACATTTTAATCCCCTTCGATTAAAGCGTTCCTTAAATTTTTAACACGGCCTAAGTAGTCCAAAATATGTTCGTTTAACTTTTTGTAATTTACGCTAAGTTGGCCACGGTAATAATTAGAAATACTCACAGGGCTGAATATATGTTTGAGTGATTCTAAGAGTTTATCGACTGTATCGTGAGTTTCATTCTCAACGGCAAGGTACGCATCATCGGTCAATTTATTGCGCAGTAGGCGAACAAAGGTAATTTTTTTCGATAAGCAGAGCTAATTTCTTGTCTCTTTTGCAAGCCCGCGCAAACTGTACTGGTATATTATGTCCATCGAAACTCGGTACGAGTTCGAGAGTGTCCCGGATGAAAGATTTAAGAAATGTGATTTGCGGAGAACAAGGGTTAACGCGATTAGAAATTTGTTTAGAAGTTGTTCGGAAATTGTTCGGAATTTCTTCTCTGATGTATCAGGGAATGTTCTTGGGAATTCGAACAAAAAGAGTGGAGGTAAAAGGTTATGCACGCAAATGTGTGGTCAGGTCACCAATTAAGACTTCGAGAAAAGCGGTTCGTTTTGATAATTCGCGAATTTCAGTGACAGGGTCCGTGGATCATGAATCAATGGGGACAAGAAAAATGGAGACCTGTTACGGAATTTGGTTCGAAGGTGCATCACAGGGGCAAATGAACTATCTAAGTTGTTAACAGGAAAGGCGCTAGGAAGTTTGCTAGTGAGGAAGGACGCGATCGTATCATCAGAAAGTGAGATCAATGGTACTCCGAGAGAAGGCTCCATAATAGAGAAAAAAAACGACTTAAAGGGCGATATAATTATCGATAAATAACTAAATTCGAAAAGAATTTCAGGTTCAATTACACAGGCCGACGAAACATTTTACCGGAAACCGGAATATACTATCCCGAAGGTTTTTGACTCGCTGAATTCAAATCTGGCCTCAGAAATGCTCGTTTGGCTCAGGTTTCCGAAATATTATAACCTAAAAGTGCAAAAAACGCGATTTTAGCCTATATTTGAGGTCATGCAGCATGGAGAAAACTTTCTTTTTCAAAAAACTGTTCAAAGTATCTCAAAGTATAGGTCTCAATCTTTCAAATGCCGTTGAGTTTGCTCAAATATCTGTTTTTGTCAGCGATATATGCTGTTTTAAAAATTTCAAATTGCATGAATTTAAATTCATGAATTTACGGCAACGGCATTTGAAAGATTGAGACCTATACTTTGAGATACTTTGAACAGTTTTTTGAAAAAGAAAGTTTTCTCCACGCTGCATGACCTCAAATATAGGCTAAAATCGCGTTTTTTGCACTTTTAGGTTATAATATTTCGGAAACCTGAGCCAAACGAGCATTTCTGAGGCCAGATTTGAATTCAGCGTGTTAAAAACCTTCGGGATAGTATACTCCGATTTCTGGTAAAATGTTTTTGCCAAATTTTGTCGGCCTGTGTTATGATTTACCTATTCAAGTAATGCAGTTGTTTTTCCCATTTTCAGAACAACAGGAGAGAAGAAGCGAGAGCAGCAAGCGCGGAGTGAATAAGATGCCGAAAGGAAGCCATAAGAGAACATAGGAAATTCCATTTCTTCCGCTTAAAGCTACGAGACATAGCAACGCGAAGAAACACAGATCCCGCGGCGAGCCGCGATTCGCAAATGTTACGATCGCGCGCACGGTGGAAGATTTCTTTCTATATGTTCCACCTACCGCATTGCGCGCATTGGTTCATCTGTTATGTTTAAGGGGTTAGGCCAGTCTAGAGCCCTCAAAAAAGGCCTAACTTTGACAATTTATTCTGGGAGTAAGGAAAAAGGAACCGAATTTCTCTCTTTTAGGCTTTATTAAACATGTATTTGAGTGTATAAAAAAATTTTTATATTGACATTTTGATACAAAATGGCGGCTACTGGGCCAATCTTCGGAATCACCTTTTTCAAGAGGGCCTCTACGGGCGACGGTGATTATAGGAACTCGTGCTATCTGAAACAAAATGAAAAACGGGATTTAACCTACATAAGACTTGCTAGTAAAGTACGTATGTTTTTAGCTTTACATCAATTTTTCGCAAAATGGCGGACTTATAAAAAAAAGGTTCAATTTTTGACCGAAAAAATGAGCAGTAAATTGTTTATAAAAAAAAAAGTTGCAATGATAACAAAAAAATCGTACGTAGTTTACTAGATAATGTTACTGTGAAGCTACAGTTAAAATTTCAAGTGGATACGTGCGATAGTCTCCGAGTACCATCGTCGCCCGATTTGAAAAATGCAGTTTCGAGAAAAACGCGTTTAAAGTTTTACGTGCTGAAAATTTTGTTATACCTTCAGTCTGCGATACCTGCGCCGTACATTTCACCTTCCATGGACACGTAAAACTCATCTTCTTCCTTTCTGGATGCCTTCTGTTCGGTTCAAGACCTTCTTGCAGCATCTGAGAGCANTTACTGTGAAGCTACAGTTAAAATTTCAAGTGGATACGTGCGATAGTCTCCGAGTACCATCGTCGCCCGATTTGAAAAATGCAGTTTCGAGAAAAACGCGTTTAAAGTTTTACGTGCTGAAAATTTTGTTATACCTTCAGTCTGCGATACCTGCGCCGTACATTTCACCTTCCATGGACACGTAAAACTCATCTTCTTCCTTTCTGGATGCCTTCTGTTCGATTCGAGACCTTCTTGCAGCATCTGAGAGCGAACGATCGGATAATTTAATGCGGTTTTGATCAGTCTCTTGACAGTAATTGTAGCAGTTCGGCCCAATTTTGATGCCTATGTTCTGCATGACTCTCATGGCACTTGTGAGGCCATCATTATAAGTACCTGCAGCAATATATACAGCTGTGTCAAGTACATTTTTGCCACTTTCGGGGCCATCAAGCATACTGTAGCGTTGAAACTCTCATTACTGTTTTGAGTGAAGCCGCCTATGCAACGAGTGAGTAGGTCATCA